GAATTTCCTTGCATTTTGTAGGACTTTCCTTACACATCCCGCAGTTCCTTACATTTTGTAGGACTTTCCATAAAAAATTTTTATAGGGAAATACCCCTGAAGGCCTTTTATATTGAGTATTTTTTCGAAATGCAACTAATTTTGCATGTCATGGTGGAGAACACTACAACATTTGTGTTGATCAATTTCAACCTTTACCTGATGGTGGTTTACTTTTTCAGCGTTATTGTAGCAAAAACAACCAACGTGGAATTGAAGGAGGTGTTTCACAAGATATTCACCTTCCTCCAAATTCAGAAGCAATTAATGATATCAATAAATATCTTTCAAAACGTTCTAATGGTGCTTCTGAAAAATTTTATTTACAAATTAATCAACTTTGGCGTGAAACTGGAATTTGGTATAAAAAAAAACATTGTGGTTTCAATAGAGTAGGAAATTTCATGAAAGATATTGGAAAATCCATTAAAGTAGATCTTCCACCTGGTATCTTAACAAACCATTCTGGTCGCAAAACTGTTGCTCAGATTCTTCAAGATGCTAATGTTCCAGAAGATGCCATAATGGGAGTAACAGGTCACAAAAGCATACAAGGTGTTCGTGCATATAAAGAAGTAATGAAAAGCAGCATCTTGCTGCTATGGATACTTTAATCCATGCTATAGAACCATCAAAATCAGTTCTTGGTGATTCAACTTCAATAAATAATTCTTTAAACATTAATAATGCTATACCAGAATTTTCTTTTGACAATATGGAAAAGAAATTTCCTATTTTTAATAACTGCCATTTCAATAATGTAACTTTTAAATTTTAAATAAAGTTTTAAATAAAGTCTTTGCTTTTTTGCATAAATAATAAATATAAAAAATAATACAATAATAATAAATAATAAAGTAAATATTTTCACGATTTTTAAAATATCACTATGAAAAATCATGGGCAATCATTAGTAAACGTGGGATAATAAATAATATCAATTATGTGTCACATCTCCAGATGTAAATATTATATACGAAGTAAATTGTTACACTATTTTAACAAGGCATGTTTCATTAGATTGGATCACTAATTCTCAAGATAATTAATTTGAAATTATTAGTTATAATAAATCATGTAATATGACATGATTTTGACCTTTTCAACCTTTTAGGGTCAAAGTTGAATGGCCACAATCAAAGAGCATCTATTAGAAGAAAGAAATTATTACAATAAAAATGATAAAAATACCAAATGGCTGGAGAACAAAGAAAACTAGTTGACCAAAATTATTCCCAAGGTAAAACACAGTACTGTGAGACAGTAAATTGTGGACCAACCAATCATCCCAATTAGTGTTTATCAATTAGAACAAACTTACTGCACTAAATATTGGAAATGATCAATGAAATTTATTCTAATTTTTATCCGTCTGTTAAAATAATTAGCATTAATAATATTAATTAGTCACAATTTATAATTAATGAGCATATTTTTTTGAATACTAGAATAGCACAAATAACATTATCTGTAATACTCCAAGAAGTATTTAAACCTTTAGAAATTGCTTGAGTTAAATAATTTTGTAATTAACAATTAATAACCTTCCTGTAATGACCTTTAATAAATACCTTTTACCTCATTACGAATTTTTGCATAGTTAAAGAGGAAAGCTATTGTGGATCGCTCCATAATCTTTTCCAATGGTCAGTGGTCTGGGAAACTCTTAATCATTAGTTAGAACACCTTTAATTTTACTATGCTTCTTGTAGGGATGCCTCAAGTGGTATAGTTGTAAAAGATTTTCTTGTATATATTTCTTTATCTTTTATTTCTTACTTTATTTTTAGGTTGTGTGCCAGAGATAGTACTGTTAGTATTAGGAATTGTACAAAGGAAACATTTAGACTGTGTGCCAGTAATAGCATTGTTAGTATTGGAACTAGATTGAAATCCTTGAGCTGTATGCTAGGGAAGAATAACTATATAATTATTTGGTTTATGATTTATCATTTCATTATACTTATTGGACATGTCATGAGCTTGTATATTTATTGGTGATTTACTTGTTTGTGATAATGTAGTATCGATGCTCTGCTCATTATAGTTATGATTGAGCCCAAAATGTTTATGTAACATTCTGATCAACAGTTAAACATAGTGATATTTTTTGATGAAAATTTACTAATTTTTTTTTCCTTTATAAAAAATAATGAATTTAATCATAGTTACATATAAAATTATTAGTTAATATTAATAAATTAATAGTTGCATATAATTTAATGATTATTTTTTTTAAATTTTTCTTGCAATTGATCTGCAAAGTGAATATGTGCATCTACGATTTTTAATACTTTCAAAGGCATTTTCAACATATTTATCATATTCATCAGGAGTTAAATCTAAACAATCAAGTGAATGTTTATAACTCTTACTTCCCCAATATGCAGTATCATAAGAAACTTTAGCAATGATATTATCTGAATCATTATCCCAATGTCCTGACATTGGGATTGTTTTTTTAAAAAATTGTACATCAGTTATAATGTTAAAATATTCTTTTAACAAGATATTATTTATGAGTTTAAATGGGCTGTTGGTTAGGTTATATTTATTTTTTAATCTTTTTTCAACTGGGAAAAAAAATTTTATAAATTAAATATAAATTAAGATTTATTATGGATATATTCATAAAAATGAAAAATACCTTTATCCATAAGCTCCAAGCATTCAGGAGATCCATTTGTGAACATATCATCCATTTCTATTAATTCTAACCATCCATTTGGTTTTGCCACCCTTATCATTTCACCTATGGCTTTTGACCAATCATTTATTTGTATGGAGGTTTTCATATATCTCATAAACACATAATCAAAAGTATTTGATTTAATATTTAATCCAGTGATTATATTTCCCAGCAAAAAATTTACATTATTAGGTCTAATTTCATTTGGAAATGTTTGAAGAATATCAACAGCCAAGAAATTAGCATTTGGGTATGTTGTAGCCATATCTAATGTCCATGTGCCACTTCCACAACTTTGAAATAAAAAATCACTAATTAATAATGATTCAATTAATTAATTAATTACATAAAAAAATAAATTTTTATTTAAACTCACCCAACATCCAGCACATCAAAACCATATCCATTCTCCAATTGTTTTGTAATCGGTGCTGAAAAATTAGTTTCATCCCAAATTTTTTTGTGCAAGAAATGAATTGTGTTTGTTCTTGCAAATTCATCATCATCATCAACTGGAAGAATATCAGTGATTTCTTCTGTGCAAACTAAATATTTACGATTTTCATTATAAGATATCATTGCTTCTGATGATGATTGCTGATTTGAATTTGTGACTGCTTTTTCTTTATTTTTTCGTTTTCCTAGTGCTGAAGGTTTTGCCCCCATTGTTACAATTAATAATCTAAATGATCGGAAATTGATGTTAATAAGAAAAAAAAATGAATGAATGAGAAGAAGGAAGGAATGAGGTAAATACAACTAAAGATAGAAAAATGGAAGAAATGAAAAATAATCATTTTAATTAATAATAATAATAATAATAAATAATTGATTATATAATGACATATAACTAATATTATATAAGCCGTGCGCTTATATTTTCTAGGCGAGTTTAATTAATGATCTGCGGGGTGCATTTCTACGTTTTATAAATAAAATTCACGCCATATTATCACACTTATATTTTAATTAAAATAGACCTATGTAAATCATTTTTCTTAAACTGTCAAGGCATCTTTCTTTTAACTCTTTACACAGAATTGGTCGAAGATTATTGTAAAAAATTATCGTGTTACACACTTAAAAGGATTACAAATTACTACCATTCACGTCATCACGCGGTTACTCAATATATAATCATGTGACACGTATCATATATATATGGCTTGATTATAAAAATTACAATTACATTTATACATTTAATAATGAAAAGGTTACGTTAAGCAACGAACTGCGTTATTAAAAAAGCAATCTGGAGTGTTCTGGTGAGATTAAAAAACTAAATAATGTACTATGAAAAAGACTATACTAAAGACCCCTATCGCTCAAATTTCAAAAATAGCTATTTCTTGATTTGTTCGAAAATGCAATAAAAATTTTTAAAGGGTATTTCCAAAAACGGACTTCACGTGATATTCTTATTGCAAAATTTATACACACTAATCTAAATTTGACAATGGCTAGCGCTCAAAAATTATAGTAATAGTGATAGAATAGAACTCTACAACAAATAAATTTTTTGACATAATCTCTTCATTATAATATAAATAAAGACCTATTATATCAACCAATGTATGACAGAAATTAACTCTACTTGATCGAGCCAACTATAATATTAACTGAATATTTTTAAATCACTTGCAAATCTTTTCCTAAATAATAATGCACATAACGTTAATAGAATCAGACCAGTATCATATGCATGTTTGATTACATTATGCAAATCTCAATATGGGACCAAGCTATCTATGCAATAGGCAGATCATACGGTATGCGGCCGTATATAAAAAATTCGATTATTTTTGAAAAGAAAATTCTAACATCAATCATCGCAAAATCTTCAAACTCAAAATCCGCATAAAGACATAAATTAAAATTTCGTCATATTAAGTAAAGCTATCAACTGACCATTTTTTTAAAGTTTACTATGTTTAAAATTTTGCTTTTCTAAAAAAGTCAATAATTAAAAAGATTTCGAAATTTTCAAATTGGAGTTTAGACCTAAAAAAGTCAAGATGTAGTCAATTGTCATTCCATCAAGAAAATGAGAGAGAAAAAGAGGTAAATTTTTATTCTCAATGATATTAAATCGTGCAAAAAAAAAAAAAAAATTTTTTTTATGTATTTCATCTTACCATTAATCATGATGGTAAAGTTTTAGTTATGTACCACTTGAAATCAGGGTTGACAATCAAGCTCCTAAATTTTTGTGTTGAAGAGAATAGGGGTGGTATGATTTCTCTTGAATTAGGAGTAGTGTTCCTAACCGAAAATCAAATTTTTTATGAATATTCGAAAATCAATTTATTCAAGGATATTCGAATATATATAATTTATTTTGTAATTATTATGGATACTCGTAATTATTATGGATACTCGTAATTATTATGGATACTCGTAATTATTTTGGATACTCGTAATTATTTTGGATACTCGTAATTATTTTGGATACTCGTAATTATTATGGATGCTCGTAATTATTATGGATACTTGTAATTATTATGGATGCTTGTAATTATTTTTGGATACTTGTAATTATTAATTATTTCAGATATTTCAAATACTTTATTTAAAATATTTCAAATACTTGTATTTG